GAAACCTTCAAAAATGTGACTTTCCCACTAGTTTTTCAATGTTTTCAGCGTCCTCGCTTTTTCGGGTTTCCGAAAGCCCCAAAGGGCCTCGGGAGGCCCCCCAAGACGTCTCCAAAAACATTCAAAAATGTCACTTTCCCTTTTGGTTTTCCAATGTTTTCAGCGTCCTCGCTTTTTCAGGTTTCCCACGTTCCAAGGCAGCCCGAGAAGCCCCCAAAACCGCTCCACAACGGCTCAAGGGGCTCCCAGAGCGTCCTGAAAAGCCCCAAGACGGCCCAAGACGCGCCCCAAGACGGTCCAAGGCGGCCTGCCCGTCAAACCCGTCGCCCTCGAAATCGCACCACTCCGCCGCCCCGCGCCCCCTTCATCAGACATCCCCTGAGGAATAGCCGCATTATGCTCATAATCCCGGGTTCGCAACCAATTTTCCGGAAACTCGGTTGCGAACCCGGGATTCCAGCTGTTTCCCGCGCGGCCCCCACTCATATGCGCCATTCCATGCGCCCGCGGCCTCGAATTCGCAGTTCTGGCCCGTCCCAGGTTGATTGCCCCCCTTTCTGCTCTTCCTGCGCTTCTCCGAAGTACGAACCAGTGGACCGCGGCTAAAATGGAATAAAGGATGGCACGACGGGCCAACCATTCCAAAGCTTCAAGGAACAAGGTGCATGGCGCGAAGCGCCAATGCAGCCTTGTATGTGTATATATATATATATATACACATGTGTATGTATATATATATATATATATATATCAACGTGTATATATAAATATACATATATATATATATATATATATATATATCAACGTGAGCGCGACCCCTGGGTGCTTGAGTGTCGAGGGCGCGGCGCTTGAGCGAATCGCCGGGAATTCCAACGCAAGAGCGCGATTCGTTTGTAAATTGCAAGCAAGTCTCCGGCGAGAGCGCGACTCCAGAGCGCCGAGAAAGCGATCTCTGAATAAAGAGCGAAGGAGTCCCAAGCGAGAGCGCGATTCCTGAGTAAGATGCGAGGAAGTCTCAGGCGGGAGCGGGGTCCTCGCTAGATTGTGAGGAAACTTCAAGCGGGAGCCGTTGTTGTTGCAATCCGGGGGCAATAACACAGTTTGAGCCCTGTGATTTTTCCTGTTTAAAAATTAAGTGCGAACCCCGAGGAAGCATTTCAATTGTAAAACACAATGGTCACCGGAGGGGGGGACCAACAATAATTATTTTTCAATAGTGACACTTAAAAAGCAACAGTGACGACGACGACAACACCAACAAAAACAACTGCAACAACAACAGCAGGAACAGCAACATCAATTATAACAACCACAAGTACAACAACAACAACAACAACAACAACAACAACAACAGCAACAACAACAACAACCATCACAACAATCACAACAACACCAAACTATGTTGGAGTCTTCGCTTTCCGCCGCTCGCGTGCTACTCAACATGTACATCCCAACCCATCGATACTTGCCCTCGCCGTGCTCGATCGTAACCCCTTGGGGATATATGTCCCCTTACCTGCCACGTGTATAACGTGTAGGGCCCCTGAAAGAAAGGGCAGGGATGGGGGAGCGAAGGGACAATGACAACGGGGAGGACGATAGATGGAGCACGCAAACGATCGACAGGAGGTTCAGGAGCAGAACAACAAGCGGCAGAACCAAACGGGTGAGTCGGGCAGGCGGACCCTAACAGGCGGATCGGGCCGGCGATTTCAAACGACCAGGTCGGGCGGGAGGGGGGGTGAACCGTCGTTCGTGCATGAGCCGCGAAAAAAGTGCCCATCGAAAACGCGATTCCCAAATATCGCAATGAGGTTCAAAAAAAAGAGCGCCGTTCCTGAGTGTCGATGGCGCGGCGTCTCAACGAATTCCCAAAAAGTCCCATGCCAGAGCGTGATTCCTGCATGATTGACGGATGTCCTGGGCAAAAACCCGACATCTCAACAAATTCTGTTCTGAGGTATAAAATGGAATCGTTGTTGTTGTAAGCCGGGGGCCAAGGGCACGACGTCACGCGCAAGTCTTTTCCCTTGTAAAAAGCCGGGTGCGAGCCCCTGGAGGTGCGAGTCACTTGAAAAACGCACATGCTGCTGAACGGAAGGGCCAACAGTAATTAGCATTCAGAACTACGGATCCAACCAGAAATACTGGCTCATCGCATGTCATTCGGTATGGATACCAGGAACTCTCGATACCCACCCTCTTCTTAGTCAATCGTACCCCCATTGGGGGCAGATCTTCCTTACATTCCACGCGTGACTGGCGCAGCCCATGAAACAGGAAGAAGAGGGAGACAGGACAAAACACGTAGCTAGGAGGAAAGGAATGCGAGGAGAGGAAGGAAAGGAGAACGGCGCCGCCTCAACAGACTCAGCAGAGCTGCCCCGACTACGCAGATGGGCGCGCAGCGCCGTAGCGCTCACATGGGGACGTCGAGGGCGCCATCTTCAACCGCAGACCATTGCCCAACAGGAAGGGCAAGGAAGGCCCTTTTGATTGCAGATAGGCGCCGACGCGGTCAGCCCACCCCTTGCGCGGACGATTCGGGAGCCTGTATTTTGCTCGCGTGCCCTTCCTGGCATCCCACAGGCGGTGACCAGTTCCAGGATGTAGCGCCGTAGACTGGTGAGCGAATCTCCACACCAGTCTTCGCCGGAGACGGCTCCAATCCCCAATGTGGTTGGAATATGCGTACCATTCGGTATGTTTTGTCGATATGATCACCCACTCGGTCCAAGGCTCAACAACCACTTGCACCCGTTCATCGTCAGCCCCAGTAACTGCCGCAAATGAGTTCCCCGACTCGAAATCCGCCTGCCCGTTCACCGACTGTCTGCCGAAGCCCAAGATCACGCGCAGCATCTTGCGTTGAATTGTCCGCGGGGCGCGTCGTTGTTCCGCCGTCAGCGTCCAGCCGGAAGCTCCGTACATCACCAAAGGGGTAGCGGCGCTGTCAAAAAATCGAACTCGGCTTGACAAAATGACGTCTGGCAGCTGAACTCTGACCTTGCACCACAAACGCTTTCCAAGATTGACGAATCCGCTGCTCGATCTCCCTCTGCGCGCAGGCCCCACTTCCAAAAAGTGTGCCGAATATTTCACTGTCTCGTCAGAGCCCAAAACCGCGATGCGCAGACCGTTAACATCTGCAAACGTGTGTTCCCCACGCCCTGCCTTCGTCGAGTTAGTTGGTGAATGGATTTGTTTTGTCGGGGCGCAGCTGAAGGCCAACTGTACCAGCTTGGCAGCAGACGTCCGCCAACATCAGCTTGATCTGATGCGACGTGTTGGCGGATAGAAAAGCATCGTCGGCGAATCGAATCGAAAATTAATGATTCCCCATTCCTGTCCGAACCCCAGTTGAATGCCATATCGTTTGGCTTGCCAGCCCACCTCGATGCGTTTCATGAAATCCTGTACTAGCGCATTGAACAGTTAGAAACTTAACGGATCTCCTTGTTGCGTCCAACGTGAAAAATCAAACCAACGACTGCGAGCGTCTGCGTGCACCCGAGCTTGTTGATTCTCATACAGCCGTTGTAACAACCTGATGTAACCCACCGGCACGCCTTGATTGAGTAGTGCATTCCATACGCCTTGGTGCTCCACGGCTTCGAAAGCCTTCTGTAAATCCACCGCCGCGAACCACAGAAGAAATTGGTTTTCGTCTGTCTTCTCATGGATCATCATTATCGTGAAAACGTGGTCTCCCGTCGAAATATCTTCCCGAACCCAGTTTTTCGATCGGCGCCCTGTTGTGGTTCAAAAATTAACGATAAACGGTCGTACAGAAGCCGAACGAATTATTTGTGTAACGTTGGAGTTATAACTATTGGACGGTAGTTTGGCAGCCTCTCGTCTCCATATTTGTGGACTACCATGATCACAGACTGCCTCCCACGATCCGGGCGGCTCTGAGGACCAACCCATGCAAGACAACATTGCAAAGATCAACCAAACATGCAATCAGATGTCGCCACTCTGCGAGAGCAAATCCACAAGAATGCCGTCCCCCGTGCCTGTGCACTTCTTCCGCTTGAGCTGTCGGATTGCACCTCGTACCTCGTCTGTCGAGACGCTCGGCAAATCTCCTGTGATCAAAGATAAACCTCCCAATTCTGGTAAGATCGGCACCGAAGCCGTTCTGACGAAGACAGATCTTCGCAAAATACCGCGACAACGTCAACCATATCCTCCCGATTGGTAACAACGCTATCTTTGTCCAACATACTTGTCATCAAGGTTTTCCTCACGAGGGACTTATGTCGGGAGATCTTGCCCAAGCCAGCAAACTCCTCAAGAACTGTATGGATGCGCACGGTCGCCAGAGAAGAGAGGGAGGAGGGAGGGAAGGAGCAAGGGGCAGGGAGAAGGATGGAACACCATAGAAATTCATAGGAGTGGGGGTAGAGGCAGGAAAATAAGGGCGGGTCGGGCGGTCCCTGACGGGCAAGTCGGGCGGGCGGGCCCAGACGGCCCGGTCGAGCGGGCGGGTCGCTGAAGCGCTAGTGCTGCATGAATCGCGAGGAATTCGATAGGGAAAGCGCGATTCCAAAGTAAAGCATGAGTAAGTCCACAGCGAGAGCGTGATTCCTGAGTGTCGAGGACGCTGCGTCCCCATCAATTGCGAGGAAATCCCACGCGAGAGCGCCAGTCAGGGGTAAATTGCAGGGAAGTCCCTAGCTAAAGCCCGAAATCTTAGTAATGTGTACCGGAAGTAGTACGCGGCAGTCGCTGTTGTTGACAAACAGGGGCCAGGGGCACGATGTAACGCGCAAGGCTTTCCCTTGTAAAAGGCGGGGTGCGAGCCCTGGGAGGGGCACTTCAATTGAACAAACACACTGTGCACCAGAGCGGGGATCAACAATAGTTCTTTGGGAATGAAAACTCGCTAACCGCAACAACGAAAACCGCACCGAAGAAACAACGCACACGCCGAAGGAGGTCCGGGAAACGGGAAGTAGAGAACCGACACAAGCTGCCGCCGCCGGGCGAGCCGCCTGGCCCTCGATCAGCAGCCCCATGTCAATCACGAGACCCTGGGCACCACGGGCTCGTCGACAACGACAACGACGAGATCGAGAGGGAGGGAAAAACATGAAGGGAAGACAAGAGGAGACGACAGCAGGAAGTAGGAGGGAGTAGAGAAAAGAAAAGGCGTTGCTATTGATCACGACAAGGAAGCTGACAAGTGTCCTTCTGAAGACAGAAACCTCACCACGTTTAAGCGCTACCCTCCATCGAACATCGGACCTGGGACCTGCAGCTGTCGCCAGCGAGGGCGTCCGAGGTGGGCACCGTAGCGGCAAGCATGTAAAAAAACGGAACCCGATCAACGCAGACGCACAACTGAAGTATTACAACATGGCATGGCCACTGCCTTCCAAAGTATCAATGGTAGAGAAGAGTGTTTGGTGGATGCTACTTTGCATGGCACCCGAGCTTGCAAATTATCGGGAATGCTGACACTTCTGTTGTCGAAATGTATTCCAGGACCAAGTGAGTTCCGAGATGCCGCGTGCGGGGTCGCCCTCGGCTCCAAGAAGACCTCAGGAGGCCCCAAGGCGCCCCCAAGAGGTCCCCAAGAGGCCCCAAGAAACTGCCAAGAGGGCCCCAGGAAGCCCGAAGAGGCCCTCAAGAGGCTCCCAAGAGGCTCCCAAGAGGCCCCAAAACCTGCCCTCCTCGAGAGCGCTCCTAAGAAACCCCAAGAAGCATCCCCGAGGACTCTGGCCCACAACCTAAACATGTCAGTGGGACAGTAGAGGCCACCCCACGACAAGCTCCAAAGCAACTATTTCACATCCATGCCTGCTGTCGCAACGCCTCCGGAAAAAGACCACCGCCAAGCAGCGCCGAATGGGCCACGAACGCGCAGGCAAACGCCAGCGATGGCACAATACGGGCCGGAAGAATGAGAGAAGCGCCTACATAATATATTGCAGCATGATCTGTTTTAAGGAGATAAAGGACACACCTAGGAGATGCCAGCTGCATGGGCTAGCACTGGGAACAGATGAGTTGAAGGTCCACAAACGAAAACGGCGGGACACGCTCAAGATAAGTTGACCGAAAGGCCACACACACAAACACACACACACACACAAACACACACTCACACACACAACGACACGCGCATGCCTTGGCCGCGCCGCTCACGAGGCCCGTGATGCTCTTGGCCTTCGGCTCCGAGAAGACGTTGATAGAGACCTGCTGGGCTCAGCAGCGATTCGCCGCCGCACCGTGCCGCGGCTGGCTTGTGTCGGTCTCCCTTGTTCTTCTTCTGTGCACAGACAAGCCCCTGATCGGGATGCTATGAAAGAATGCCGACGCATAGAACTGAACAGGCACCCTGTAGTGCCTTCTACGAGGTCTCATGGAATCGCACGTGAAAACGAACACATACCATGCTAGAGCTGATCACACAAATTGCCAAGCACGGCGATCCGTTGCTTGTTGTGTGGTGAGTCTCTCCCCGCCCAACCGAGGCTATCATGCGCCCACTTGAGGCTCAAGATTCCTCAAGACCCTCCAGACCTCCCCAGACCCCCGTGCGAACTCGCCCCAGCCCCTGCGCGCTGACGGACACGCGCGGCAGTGCGACCGGGCCCTGCTCCACAAGATCAGAGCAGAGCACAGCTGCGGTGTCGACCAGACGTCACCCGCAGGCCGAAAGCGGACTCCTGGCAAGGACGTGTGTTATTGGCTCGAATCGGCGTGACGACGCGGCGTGCCGACGCAAATGGCGGGGCGGGTGCACGTCCAACAAACGCCACAGGTGGCGCTGTGGCACCACGATGAACGGCTATCCCTCGGCTCCGATGCCTATTATCATAAAAATGGGGCCCAACGGCTGCTCACTCCCCCTTGGGGCGCAACTGCAGTGGAGCTTCGCGGTGTGGATTCTTGTGCTGCCGTCGTCGTCGCCCCGCGACCCGCCCAGCGACCGAACCGACCCGCCCGCAACCTCTGCCCCCTGCCACCGCCGACAATCACTACAACCGCGGCGATACGGATTCTATCATCATAGCCGCCGCCGTTAAGCAGACGGTCGGGGGAGGTGGAGTAGGGGGGAGGGTGGTGGCAATCAAGAGGGACATGTAGAGGGATCAGCGCATGGCGAGCCTCGTGCTGGATTCCGTCAAAGCAATGGCTAGTGTTGTTGCGAGCCTGGAGGTGACGACTGGCATCTGAATCATCTTCCTCGCCCTGTTACTCATGCTGCAGCCGAGGTAATTGGTACTTCCCGATCCTCCTCGTCCTCCTCCACCCAGCAATCGTCCTTCACACGTGTACGCAATCTTGACAAGCCATACGACGTGGAAGTCCTCGTCGCACACGGTCGTGTCGCCCCTGCCCACTTCCTATCTACCTCTCAGCCAGTCCAATGTCCAATGCTGGCGGCAGCACGCCCAGATCGCGGTGTTCGTAGCTGTGGGCGGAGCATGACAGCCACGACGAAAGGCCAGAGAAAACGACAAGGACACTACAGACACGTGGAGG